CAGCAAAGATCCAATGTCAGCAACGACAGCTTGATCCAAACTCCATTTATATCAATGGCAGTGTTTTGGCTGACTGCTCCAACATTTGGATCGGGCCCAGTGCCTGTTCTATCCCTTTTGAAGATAATCTTACTGAGTTCTGTGTATCAATCAGCTTTACATTTTAAAATTGATTTAATAAAATTGCCCTTGGTGACTAAGCATACTATTTAGGATAAATCTGTGACAAAAGCAACATTATTGATATTAAAGCAGCATTTGAAATTCATCACAGATGGGGGTAAATGCCAGGCAAATACTACTTTTATTTTGTTTTAGCTTGACAGTGGCAAGGTACAGTACTATATCTAGTTCATACAATAATTTATATGAATATGGGGTGTGTACACAGTTTATGATGTGAATTGTTCAAGACTGCATTTTTTAGTATTCTGTCTCTTTCTATGCATTGCAATGTAAAAAACACTTCTTTCCACATTTTATACCCTCTAAAATTGAATCATTCTGTCTCTTATCAAGTCTCTGTTTCTGCATTATATTTTTGAAGTAGAAGCACTAATCATTTTGATTGTGTGACAAGCTGTTTCATCCTATTTTTCTGGGTTTCTTTTTCCCAAGCAGTTTTCTAGGTCATGTTTTCATGAGACCTCTCTTTTTAATAGACTCAAGATTTCCTAGAATTTCTTTCAGCAAACAATTACATTCATTGTCTGGACATCTAATTTTACTACAGCAAACTGTTTATATTTTTGAATATTTTTTTCTGTTTTCTATTTCCTCCAGAAAAATCTTAAATATGTTTATGCATTGTGCAATGAAATACATTTGTCAATTTTTAAAGTATGCTTCCTTCAAGAAGGATTAATAAATGTAAACCACATTTCCAACTCAATTCAGCATTTTTCACAAAGATAATTCAACTTTTAATTAAAAGAAGAAAATGAGCCTGAAGTGTCCAGTTTAAATACTTTAGACTGAATATGGTAAATCTCTATATAAAGTAAATGTCTAAGGAGAGGAGACTTCTGTAAGATATGGCCATTCATCCCCCCAGTGCCACAGTGCAAGAGAAGCAGAGTTCAACCAATGAGAAAAATTATCTTAGGACCCACTTCCAAGCATAGAAGAGCAAAATAAGATCAATTTGTGGCTAGGACAGCGTATGACCTATGAGAACTGTATTCTTTCTATTCATGGTTATTTTACAGATTTCCTCTCCAAATCACATAAACCCAGATTTGTGTATATAGCCACTAAAATCTATAGGTTTTCACCTCTAAAATCTAATTTTCAGAAGTGTTGAACACTACAGGTGAAGTCAAGGGTCGTTCTGGATGCTCAGCATCTCTGAAAAATGAAACCCTAGATTTCTCAATGCATTAGTCATTGAGGCATCCAAAGGCAGCAGGCAATTGGCAGTTTGGTCCTGTCCTCCTTCATCTATAAACTGGGTACAACAATACTCCCTTGCTTAACAGGAGACTTATGAAGACAGATTCAGTTGTTTTGTAAGTTACTTAGGTGTTACGCTAATAGGCACCTTAGTAATGTTGTTGAGGAAATTTACTAATTCCAAGCTGGGTTTGGGTGGCATGCAGCAAATTAACCACTTCATTCACAGAACACCTTTTATCTAGTAAAAGAAATGAGGTGTGGACCCCAGGGTAAAAACAAGTGGTATTTTAGGTGTGTAGTATGCTGATGCATATGTACATGGGGGACAAATTACGATCACATGGGCACATACAAGTCTGATATATTTTAACTTCTGAATTCTTGATTTTGTAACCTTAACCACATTTTAACATGGTAAGGAGGTGAATGGCCTCTGGGGCTCAGAACCCAGTTACAGGTAGCTGGCAGATAATAGTCTGCCTGGCTGGGGATCCAGCTGGAATGGATGACGGGTTAATGAGGTGGATATCTACAAAGCCTGTTTAGAACCCCAGGAGAGGAATGTAGAGAAGAAGACAGCTTGCCAGAATTGCCCTTCCTAAGGTCTGGAAAGGAGAGAACATTTCGGTTAGTCTCATTTTGTGGATTTAAGGTTGTTTCCATGATGAAATAAACTGGTCTGAGAGCTAAACTGACTCACCTGTTTAAGGCAGCAGGCTAAGTATCCTGCTTACAAATATTTTTGTCACTCAACAAGCAGATGCCTTACTCCATTTCTATCATAAATATTCTCTAGTCCATGAACAAATCATACTATGAGAAAATTCTTAGGAGTCTCACTTAAGCTATCATGGGAACTAGTTTTCCTTTTTATACATTTAACAAGCAATGCATAAAATGAACATTAGAACACATGCTTCTTCCTTGCCTGTGGGTGTGTACATAGGCAGCAGGTTATGGAACCTTACCCTGTACCTTCACATCCAAGTACGTTCATGTTCATGAATAGACCTAGAGAGGGGGGTGCAGATGATCATCACATAAAACATGTGTTTTTCTCCAATTAAAGAGAAACTAGATGCTTTTCTAATATGCTAGGGACCTATTCCTTTATCATTCAATTTAAGATCAAAGCAAAAACCAATATGACTTGGAATGTACACTTAACTTGCTAGATTTCTTATAACATTTAAAAAAATGCAATGCTAGGCAAAAAAAAAAAGTGAAGAGTCAAAGATAGTGTGTCATTAGCCTAGTAGGCATTATAGTTAAATGTACATGCCTTATTCATTCATAAAACAAAATCAAGCCTTCTTGAGCATCTTGACAGTGTGCCCGATAGGTGTAGAAATGACTGACAATAAACTGAGTTAATATTATCATACTTGCTTTAAGGTTTTTAGCTAGCTAAAAGCAGCCTGCAGGCTGTGCAACAGACATGACACATTACCAGGAATGGCCAACAGACACCAAAATGGCAGAAGACAGGATAGTCGCAACAGTGGAACATCAAGACCATTAAACAGGAGTGGGTTGCTAACATCTGTGGAGTGGAGAAAGATTGGCAGGAATCAAGGAGATAATCATGAGCCACAAAGACAAGAGACTCTCAGTGCTGCCTAACTAGAAATGCTGCTGCCCCTCCCAGGCGGTTGGTTGTAAAGTTGGGATGGAGCAGGATCTGCCCCCAGGGACTTGTACCCCACTCCCCCTTTGATTCCTGTTCCACCAAAACGTGAAAGCCAACTGCCTGCAAGGGTCAAGCAGTGCTGAGCAAGCCAACTGACTTTGTGGCTTATCATCGCCCCGATCCCTTCCAAACTCTTCACCTCACAGCTGCTAAGGGCTCTCTCTCCTTTTTAATGGTCTTGATCAGGGGCGAGCAATTATTTTGGGTGGAGGGCTGCTTACTGAGTTTTGGCAAGCCATAGAGGGCCACATGACAGGCAGCCAGGGGCAGTTAAATATTAATTCTCTGAATTTTTTAGGGGCCCCGCAGGCCAGAAAGAATGGCCTGGCTGACCGCATCCAGCCCACAGGCCGCATTTTGCCCACCCTGGTCCTAATGTTGCAGCGTAGGGTGGCCATCATAGAAAATATTCTGGTTTTCTGCTCGTCTGTCCCCTATTGATATGAAAACCTACCCCTTTATGTCAGAAAGGCATCTGGTCTTGTATCAATAGAGGACAGAGGACAATGGGACTGTCCTCTGTGATGGCCACCCTATGTTTCACCCATCAAGCCATCCCTGCTGTCCCTCTGGGGCTGCCCCTGGTAACAACCTGCAGGCTACTTCTACCTCACTCCAGCGCCCTTCGATTTGGTGTTTGCTTCAGCCTGAAACTGGATAACCCAGCCCTCGAGTAATCCAAACCCTGGGCCCCCATCGCATCCCACGACCACAGCTTCGAGTTTCTTTTTAACTGGAGGAAAAAATGTGGAGTGACCCTACTTCCCCCCACTAGACCCGGCCGGGTCAGGGCCCCTCTGCGCGGACACTGAGCGAGCAGGCGCCGCGGACTACATACGGCGGCGCAGCGTTAGCAGCGCGATGAGAACGAATCTCCCCAAACTCCACCCCCTCGGGGCCCTGCGCAACGCAGAGTTCGGCGGGCAGCTACTGACTCGAGCGCTTTTGAGGGCGCGGCTTCAGTGGTAACCCCGCCCCCCGCCAGCGGCGCCCGCCCGGCCCCCGCCGGGC